GGGTGACACTTGCTCAGCAGAGCTGGGGACATAGGTGTCACCTCTCATTCTGGACCTAGGAAATGTTCTTTGTTGACAGTAATGGGTCCATTGCATTATACACATCTTAAACTAGAAATACTAACATACATTAGCTTGAGTAGAGAAGGATCTCCACCTTTTAAATCTCACCATTTAACAACCTCTTTAAATATCTGGTAGACATTGTTGGTAAATCACCGATCGAGGTGCCTGTATGGTTCTCATGACTCTGAATTTGTGCCACAGGGAGGAAATGGCTCAGACTCAAGACTGTAGAAATACAAGAAGCAAAAATGTGCAACACAATGTTAAATGTTGCCATAGGCTTGCTTCCCCAACAGTACCCCATTCTCCTGGAAGGTCAGGCTCCTGAGAACTTCCTGTATTTGATACCAGTGGGAGCTGAGCTGGAGAACAGCTAGGCAGAAGGAAAGCACACCACTCCCATCATGCATCCTGACTCCCATTGTCCTGAAGACTCCTTTAAAGATAAAGAACTGACAGGTCAGCCATATCAAAAGCAAATGGAAGGGCTAGACGTGGCCAGCACACAGGAAGGCTGGGCCAGGAGGACTGATACATATTCAAGGACAGCTTGGTCTACATAATGAGTTCCAGGATTGTATAGGGAGATCCTGCCTCAAAAAACCCCAAAGCAAACAAGTATCAACAATAACAATAACAGAGCCCAGGAGGAAGAGAAGGCGCTTTCTCAGACTGAGTGCCTGCTATGGACTCCTGTATGCCTAGACCCTTTCCATGCACTGGTTTTGAATTCTCTGACTTGGTGAGGCGGTTCTCTGTTCTTATTTTATCAGTGAGGAAGCCAAGTCATTTAAGTCATACAGAAAACTACATGACTTACGGGCATGAGCTGGAATTATATTCAGTCTTTCAGGTTGACTTTCAGGTCTGTGTTAGCTGGGGATGGTGGCACAAGCCTGTAATTACAGCATTTGGGAAGCCTTCCTGGGCCACATAGTGAGACCCATCCTCCCATCTCAGAAAATAAAATCTGTGTTCTTTTCACTCTATCACTATGCACCTATGAGTGTACATGCATACTCATGTGCACACGTACAGCTGCTACAAACTGATTGACCTGGACTGGGGCAGTACAAGGTCATTACAGCAGTGTACACTCAGGTTACACTATTCACGATTGTGACTCTGTTTGTCCAATGTCTGTGACTCTGCTTGACCCACCAAAAAAATCGGATAATACTAGAACCTACTCCAAAAAGCTATTGCAAGGCATAAGTCTTAGCTGAACTATAATGCATTCAGTAGCCAAATATTACTTCTGGAATTCTCCCATGAAGGTGGTATTATAGATGATACAGATAGAGTCGTCTCGAGCACTTGATTAAAACGGTCTCAGTTTTCAGCCAATTCTGTTATTAATAAGACTGGTTACAGTGTATGCTTAGCCATGGGAGAAGACATATAGTTCAAACAATGTGCAAACTGGTACACATGTGTAAACTATTGATGGCAAAGCCAGCACAAGGCTCAACGAGACAACGCGGCTGTACTGGGATTGCGGGGCAAAGAAGGACACCTGACATCTGGAGCTTGTAAGAATGATTGCAGTGGCATTGTGGCCTTCTGTGCGCATTAATTGTTATTCTTTTTTCTTGACTAGGTACAAGCCAGGGTCATCTGGAAAGAGGAAACTTCAGTTGAAATAATGGCTCCATTAGGTTGGCCCATAGGCAAGTCTATGGAATGATTGACTGACGTGGGAGGGCACAGCCACCTGGGCAGGTGGTCCTGGGTACTATAAGAAAGCGGGGTGAGCAAGCCAGATGGAGTAAGCCAGTAAGCAATGTTCCTCCATGGCTTCTGCTTCAGTTTCTGCTTCTAGATTCCTTCCCTGACTTCCCTTCATGAAGAACTATAAGCTGTAAGGTGAAATAAACCCTTTCCTCCCCAAGTTGCTTATGGTCGTGTTGTTTATTACAATCATAGAAGCTAAACTAAGACACATTCTAACTGGAAAAGTACAGCTGCATTTATTTTGTTAAAACATGGATCACAGCACACCTGGCTAAAAATTCTGAAGCAAGTAAGTGGCTGTAATTTGCACGCATCATCTTTTAAAAATGAACTAATTCATTTATTAACAATTTTGTACATACACACAATATATTGTGATAATATTCACTCCATTATCATCTCTTATTCCATCCTCTCCCCTGACCTCTCATAGCTTCTACTTTCATGCTTCCTTTTTCTTCCTGTTTGACCCACTGATTTTAATTAGGGTTACTTGTATTACATGAGCGTGGAGTAGGGGTAATGTATTGGAGCATGGGCAATTTAACCAGTGGCTACACCATTGAGAAATATGACTGCCGCCGTCTCCCCGCCCCTCGCCATGCCCCACAAACCCATCAACTGTCAGTGTCCATTTATGAAGGAGTGAGTGGGGTGTCACGAGCAGCTCCCCCATCCCTGGTGGACTGCTGAAGGCCCGGGTCCTTGGCAAATATTCTGCCCAGAACACTGCAGCTGTGTGTTCATGATCACATGCAAAACTCATGCATGACCCAAACATTTCTCTGGTTACTCCCCTGCTTGCCTGGTTGAGGGTCACTGAGGATAAAAAGACGTGGATCTGATGCAAGGCTGACAGGTATGTAAACGTCCAGAACATGCTTTCCTGGCCAGCCTGAGCTAGGGGACGTAGAAAGAGTCACTCATTTAACTCTTAGCCCCGACCCGCCCTGCACCTTTGAGGAGAACACAGGCGTGAGACAGGCCTGAGGATAGCGAGCATGCTCTGAACATGGTGTCTCACACACGGATGTGGACTCGAGTCATGAGACTTAAGGTTCCCGGCTCAGCCGCTTGCTGTCTACAACATCCAGGCAAGTCATGTGAACCACCTGGGCTTCCAAACATCAGGGCCTTTAGATCCAGAACTCCTTCCGTTCCTCACGTCCCACACTTCTGCTTTAACATTCCTTTGCTCCTTGGGCCTGGAATTAATCCGAGAATCCAAGAAAGCATCTGGTTCTACAAAGATCAACAGCCGCCCATCACTGCTTCTAATCTGGTTTGTCAGTTCCAGGTGGCGTGGACTTCAACCAGGACCATCTGTCCCTCCCAGCAGCTCCAGAGCCGCACTGCCCCGGAGACCGGACAGACAGATGTCTTCACCTTGACCTTGCTGCTGCTTTCTGGCATGTCTTCATTACCCCCATCCCTTCCATCCCCACTCCCCCTCGCCTTCCTCTCCCCATGCGAGGAGGAATAGAATGAAAAGCAAGAAGACGACCCTCGGGCAAGCCCTCTTCATGTGATTTATTGCCTTGCACAATAATTTTCCAAGTCCCCGTGACCCAAAGTCAGGAAAACTGGCGGAGTCTCTCACAGGAAAATGAAATATTAAGAAAAAAATGCAATCCCAAAAGCAGGCAGGGGGATGAAAAGAACTTTCCATTTTCAATTCTAAATGTCAAACAGCAGTTCTAGTTTTCATTGTAGGACAAATAACCATTATTTGTTGAAATTGTGCAGCAAATAACAGTATGGTAAGGCTTTTAAGGCAAGATCATCGGGGAATGTATTTAACTCACTCAGAATTCACACCAGGATGACTATTTTAAGCACAATGAAATACCATTTTAATAATTTCATATAATATTGTCATGATGGATAGCTACTTTAAATTTACATGGCAGCTATGTAAATGGCCATAAGTGATTTTTCATTATCCTAAACGGTGAGTCATTTGAGATATTGATGTAAGCGCCATGCAGGAACAACATTGACAGTTTATTAAGCTAAAAGGGTGCTAATCAGTTATTATAGTTAAAATGACACCCACGAGGAAAAGAAACTGATTTGCTAAGATACATTTTTATTTTTATTATTATTTTTTTTTAGAGTTGGAAAATCAGTAGAGGTGAGGTGAGTGTTGTGGCAGACTATTTGTTTGACCTCAAGAAATGGCTGTGCCCTTGGTGCCGAGCGGAGCAGGGCCTGTTGTGAACAGCGAGCATGCCCAGTAGATGGACCATTGGTTGCTTAGCTCCTCTAGCGTCACAAGACAATGCTGCTTTGATGTAGTGTCAGCCTGACCCTCACATCAGTCAGCTTTCTGCGACAATAGTGAAATACTGGAAACGATCGACTTACAGCTTTGCGCTCACAGTTTTAGTAGGGTTTCTGCTCTCTGATTGTTTAGACCCCTTGATTTGGTCCTGCGACACATGTGCAGCAGAGCAAACCAACTCACCTAATGAGCCAGAAAACAGAGACAGAGAGAGCTCCACGACCCCCCTTCAAGGATTTACCCTCCTAGCGACCTAGAGACTCCCCCAGGAGGCTCCTCTCTCAAAGATTCTACCACTCTCCCAAAAAGCCACCCTGGGGACCAAGCCCGCAACACATGGGTCTTTGGGGAGGCATTCAAGACCCAAGATGTCGCCGCCCTAGAATTCGGATTATACATTGACATCTGGGCTGTCTGCTGTTGTTTCTTCGGGTTTTCAAACTAGAGTAGTTTTTCTCCAAAGTCTCACTGTCTGGAGGACATCAGAGCAGAAGGGGCTTAGCTGTGGAGGTTCCGTTTGTGAGCCAGCAGGAAGTCCTGTTGATATTCTCTCCTGGGTCATTATGCTAATCACGGGGACTAAAAGATGAGCTACAGGATACTTTTAAAGTAATTTTACTTATTGTATAACGAACGAATGTTTCTGAAGAATACGCGACAGATTTATAGTATTTTTTTAGTAACCTATTTTGTCACCCAAGAATCAAGTTCATTTCACTGAGGATCAATTCATACTTTTTTTAATTTAAGAAATTTTTTATTCATTTTACATACCAACCACAGATCCCCCTATCGTCCCCCCTCCCACTCCCCTCCAGTCATCTTCCCCCCACCCCCACCCCTACCCAACCATCCATCCTCTTCTTCAAAAGGGTAAGGCCTCCCATGGGGAGTCAGCAAAGCCCTGTACATTCAGTTGAGGCAGGATCAAGACCCTGCCCCCTGCATCAAGACTGAGCTAGGTGTCCCACCATAGGTAATGGGCTCCAAAAAGCCAGCTCATACACCAGGGATAGATCCTGATCCCACTGCCAGGGGCCCTTCAAACAGACCAAGCTGCGCAACTGTCTCCCATATGGAGAGAACCTAGTCCAGTCCCATGCAGGCTCCACAGCTGTTGGTCTAAAGTTCATGAGTTCCCACTAGGTTGGTTTGGTCATCTCTGCATGTTTCCCCATCATGATCTTGATCCTCCTTGCTTATAGAATCCCTCTTCCCTCTCTTCGACTGGACTCCTGGAGCTCAGCCTGGTGCTTGGCTGTGGATCTCTGCATCTGTTTCCATCAGTTACTGGATGAAGGCTCTCTGATGACAGTTAGGGTAGTCACCAATCTGATTACTGGGGTAGGCCAGTTCAGGTACCCTCTCCACTATTGCTAGTAGTCTGATCTGGGGTCATCCTTGTGGATTCCTGGGAATTTCCCTGGCACCAGGTTTCTCCCTATCCCTCTCTCCATAATGGTTCCCTCTATCAAGAGATCTCTTTCATTGCTCTCCCACTCCATCCCTGTTCCAGCTGGACTATCCTGTTCCCTAATGCTCTCATCCCATATCCTCTCCTCTCTAATACTGCCCCCCCCCCCATTTACTCATGGAGATCTCATCTATTTCTCCTTCCCAGGGCAATCCATGCATCCCTCTCAGGGTCCTCCTTGTTACCTCGCTTCTCTGGAGCTGTGGGTTATAGCCTGATTACCCTTTGCTTTACATCTTAGCATGCTAAGAATCATCTTCCATTTTCTGCACGTTTTACATAGTAGAGCAGATTTCATTTGATGGCACCACACACCTATATGTTTAACTACTGGGATAGCTGAAGCAGGGGGATCACTAGTGCTGAGGAACTCAAGACCAACCTGGGCAACACAGTAACACTATATCTGTAAAACTAAGTTAAAAATATTTTTCTCAGCACTAGTACTACAACACATATGGAATTCATTCTCTTATTCAGTTTTGATTCCAGTAAGCGGTCACAGAAAGTGTAGTCAGTATAAAGCACTGGTGGAGTGAGGTAAGGGACAGTCCATGCCTCACAGAGAACAGATTTGTCAGGTTGCTTTGTGGCTGTAACAAAGCTAAAATACAGCAGTATATAGTAAAACACTGCATCAAAAACATACAGTAGACGCAGATCTGAGCTAAGGCATTTGTTGGTATCATACAACGTGGCGTGGTGACCCGAGGCAGTGGCTGCGTGCTGTGTACTCAGAACCAAGGCTGCAGTTGCTTGTATGACAAAGGCAAGGACTGCCAGCAACACACAGCTTCATCACCTCTTGGATTCTGAATTAAGTTGTGGGTTCTGTGCACTCACAACCCTTTCACTGTTGTCAATTTTTTGTGACTTATGTAGGGGTCGTGACCCTCAGTTTAAGAACCTGTGGTGTTCCAGCTCAGGAGTCAGTGTCCTATGGATTCATCAGCTCTCAAGAGGCCAAGGGAGCATCCTGAGTGGAAAAACTCCAGCCCTGACTGGTTAACACAGTATACAAGATCACCAGCATCCTTTGGGCAGGTTGGTTCTTCTTGCTGCTGTCCTGATTTGTTATTGCTTTGAATGAGGTTCATAGAATTTCAAGGAAGTTAAAAAAAAAAAGCATGAAAGTTTCAAATATTGAGCCTAAAAGCCAACATTGCTTTATTTTTATTTGGATTACATTTCATGAATAAATAATAGCAAGGATATCTTACTCAGTCTTGGAGCTCAGGAGTTTGACCAGGGAGTAGCATAATAAAAGAGTTGTCTCATTCTGTCACACCCTCCTGAGTGTTGCTTGGAAGGCTATCCCGCAGCAGCTCCAGGGATCTAGATTCTTTCCTCTACTGGATCAGCTGGGCCCATGGGGTCCTTTGAGACCTTGGAACCATTTATTGGATCGTCAGCAGGCAGCCAGCAAAGACAGAGAGACAAAGCAACTCTTGGGATGTCAGGGGTCAGGCTCAAAAGAGTGTACACGACGCTGTGGCCATCCCTAGGGAACTGCATGAACCCCTCAGCGGATGCTGAGGACACAGACAGTGAGTACCGTACTCTGTCTAGCTGTCAGTGGTTTCCTGTACGCATAGGCCAGATAAAAGTCACTTTATAAATCGGGTGCAGCAATAGTTGATAATAAAATAGGACAATCATGATTTACAGAAATAAAAGTTACATAATGTGGTCTCTGCCTTGATTCAAGACAACTGTCAGTATTTTCAGATCTTGATTGACTAAGGGTAATTCGAATTCCGGAGTGCAAAGATAAAGGAAGATGATGAACTCACATTCTAGTGGACAAAGTGAGTCACATGACCCCACCTAGAAGCACAGCTGTGTGCGCAGTGTTATTATGAGCTCAGAGCAAAGGGAAATAGTGAATATGTGGCCTTGTGCCTGCCACAGTACAAAAAAAAATACTTAAAAATACAGAAAAGTTGTTTTCTATTTCAGTCTGGAAACAGCTGTTAGGAATTGGATTCATCTTCTCATCTCTTTAGAAACTTCAACTGTCTCATTTTTGAGCTGGGACTTATACCTACACATGGTACATGCTTCCACTGTCCAGAATTTCCTTGGTCCAAAATCTCATTTTGTAGCCTAGACTGACCTCAAACTTGAGAGGCTCCAGCCTTAGTTTCCTGAGTGTTACACAGACCTGTGCTACCACCCCAGGAACATTTTAACGTGTGTGTGTGTGTGTGTGTGTGTGTGTGTGTGTGTGTGTGTGTGTGTGTGTTGTATGCTTAGTTTTATACACTTCTTTTTCACCTATGTTCCTATGTATTTCATCCATTCAAGAGTTCAACTCCCAATTCTCCAATACACTAGTTGGATGAATTTATAAAACTTTCTATGTCTCATGTTTTCAATTCATAAGATGGTGACAGAAAAGTCACCTATGAAATAAGCTGTCATGGAGATTAGAACTCAGCCACAGGAAGGTCTAGCACACAAGCTTAGCTATCCTCTCAAGAGTGTACTAAGTCACTAAAGTTCCAGTATAATGCTTAGGCTACTTTATTAACACTTAAAATATTTTAATTCATTAGTTGAGCATTTCATAAATATATTTTGATCATATTCATCTCCAACTCCTCCCTGATCTACCCATATCCATAAATATTTCTTGATCATATCTCAATTCCTCCCAGATCGATGCTCACCTCCCTAAATCCCAACTTCACGCCCCCATTCTTTTTTAAAAATAATCTACTGACTCTAATTTGTGCTACCTGTATGCTCTGGGATGTGTGGCCATCTCCTGGAGCATGTTAGACCTACCAGGAACCACAGTCTTAAAGAAAACTGACTCTCCCAGAAGCCACCAACTGTCCTCACTTAGTAGTAGGAGATCATGAGCCACCCCTGTCCTGTGTTAGAATGTTGACCAACTTGATCCTGGCAGGTCTTGTGCGGGCAACCACAGTTGGTGTGAGTTCACGGGGACAGTTGTCCTGTCATGTCCAGAAGACTCTGTTTCACTCCAGTCCTCCTCAGCCTTTGGCTCTTACAACCTTTCCATCCTCTCTTTAGCAATGGTCCCTGAGTCTTGGTGAGGGGTGTGTTATAGATGATGCATTCATAGCTAAGCACCTGATAGACACGTATTAGGTGTACTTCAGTGGTGAACTTTTGCATTGATTACTATCCACTGCATGAAGAAACTTCTGTGACAAGACCTGAGAGCTACACTAATCTACAAATGGGGAGAAACAGATTTTCAGGCCAGTTTGATACTATGTCTATATAGCAGAATAAAAGGAGTAGGTTCAGCCTTCGGGTCCATGAATTCCCCAACCACGGGTTCTTGGCCAGATTTGCAGTATCAGGTATGTGTTCCCTCTTGTGTAGTGGGCCTTAAATCCAACCAGAAAGCAGTTGATTACCCCCATAACATTTACGCCACTGTAGTACCCATGGGCCTATCTCGTCACACTGGTCATTATTTCAGTTTACAAGGTTAAGACTGACTTCTCCCTCCAGCAGGCTGTACAACATCTTCTAGTACTATGAGAGCTAGGCATCCGGAAGGAAGCTTTCAGGGTTAGTATCAGCTTGATTTCTCCATGTCCTGTGACCAATGTGTCTTAACATCAAGTTCTAGTGGGTAATCAAAAAAGCATTAACAATGTATTACTTAGGTGTCACCAGGGCACCTCTGATCCGAAACTGGAGGGGAGATATGCCACATCTGGCAGTGGGCTTTTTGTTTGACAACCCATGACTTCTGGGATGAGTACAATGCCTTGTGTAGAGCAACTCCATTATATGATGCTTATAAAATAGTGGGCTTCCATAACATTTTTGTTGTTGTTTTTAAAATAATTTCTGTTTAGAGCAGTTTTGGTACAGAGATTTCCATCCACCACCCCCCCCCCCACACACACACATACACACACATTTGCACATCACCTTTATCAACATCTATACCTGATGGGGGCATTTGCTTCCACTGATGGACTTCCATTGACCTAACAGTATCCAGTCTTCTTTTAATACAAGAATGCAATTCTCTTTGGGATGCCTTATTCTTCAGGTGAGCCATACATGCAAATGTGTTCTAGTTTGGCTTCTAGAAAGTTCAGGACACAACAAAGGGCCTTTATCTTATCAGGGGCACCATGAGAGTTAAGAGGAATGAAGCAGAGAGGCAATAGGAAAGGGTGTTTGGTTGCTGGTCTGTGCAATGGACAGCTCTATCCCACAAGATGTCCTCTGAGGATTTGCATAAATACCTCCTTAAGCTAGTTGAATCAGGGGGACAGAAATGGGATTTTGCTGACTGGCTCTCCTCTTGCACTGGTTAAAATATCACCCTGCTGGAAGCTGATGCCACACACTTGAGAGTTGAATGTGACTCAGTATCCAGTGTGTCCTGTGGTGTGTCAGAAGCAATGCAGGTCAATCAGGAGAGTTAGACCCCGAGTAAGGTGAGGCTAGGCACATCTGACAAGATTCTCAGAGGCATATTTGTACCTTTATATTATACAAGTTTATTTCCCCCATGGTGGAGCATGTTGATGACACTTAGAGTTCTTCACATTCATTTCTGAACATGTTATTTACAGTCTCTAGATTTCTTCCATTATGATAAAGTTAACCAAACTCTGTGTATATGAAGGTGGTTGGGTCTTACTTATTAATAAAGAAATATTGTCTCTTGAGGTTAACACTGCCCTTCATGAGATAACCTAACTTAGAGAAAAGCAACACAGGTTGATGGCATCTGAACAGTCCAAACTACTCGCTGCTGTCTTTAGGATTCGTGGCAAGGGATCCTGGGAACTAGAGGGTCAGTTAGTAACCTCTGGCCTGTCCCAACCCTCTCTTGTTTCCAGGCCATCTCTATTCTCAGTTACTTAAATACTTACTAAATAACTTTTTAGTTCCTTCCTTAGCTTTAATTCAATATTGTTCAAAAGCATGAATTGAGAATGGTGTGTGATGGAGTTCTTCCAAATTACACACCCTTCTCTTGGCCACCTCATTCCCTAAAACTCAAACTCTCCTAGTCTAGAAGCAGCATCCTGGGTACCACTGAAATACCTCCTGTGAGAAAGAAAGGGAACTTGACCATTTTTTGAAGTGCTGTGAGTGAAAGTTGCTGATGACCATTTTACTTTCAAGAAAATGACTCTGTGGGCTTCGTTTCCCAGCCTGTCCAAAGGCTTTCTACTGGAGCCAGGTGGAAAGTTCCCAGTCTCAGTTCTACACAGGAGCTTAATATGTGCAACCAAAGGCACCAGATATTTGTCATGTGATAATTCTGGGATGTTTTGAGCTTCTGCCTGGGGGCTGTCTAACCATGGAATTGCCAAATAGCCATGGAGGTAGCTTACTTTTCTACTCCATGTCCAGATACACTTTGTGTGATTATATGATATCAGATTTCCCCAAGAAATACCATCGCAAGGGGCTATTTGCTTATGTGCACCAACATTATTTACTGTACTTAATCTGTCTGGTAGTATTTAGTGACCTTCACCAGTTCAGCATTCTTGGCAAGGATTTTCCCCTTGGCCACAGGGGAAACTTGCATTTCTCTGGATCCTTCCAAGAGAGGGGAATGCAACCACAGCAGCTGTGGATATGAAAATAACTAGGAGCAAAATAGATAGCAAACTCAGAAGAGCTTGAGAAAGACTTCTCCCAGAAGACATTCACTTCTGACACCAAACATTTGGGAGAATTCAGTGATAAGCTGGCCCTCATGTAGCTATTTTTAACCCAAAGAAAAGCAGAGGTGGATAGATAGGTAATTCAATATTTTAAACACAGATTAACATAATTCTGTCTTCATTTTACTCTCAGCTACACATGTGTGATTCATGTCATGCTCTGAAATACATGGATATATGGAGATTAGAATAGCCTTCTAATATCACTCCCATCATAATGAGACAGGAATAAACTTCTGGGACTTCATATAAAAAAAGAAGAAGAAGAAGAAGAATTGTAGGTGGATGATGTCAGGGCCTAGATTTCTGTTAATTTCAGAATGTGCTTCTCTCATACTTAAAAAAAAAAAAGTTTTA